GTGCTGTGCTTTAACCCACTGTGCCACCAGGGAGGACCACAACTATTTTTTCTTTTTAAAGATTTATCTATTTATGCTTACAGAACTGGGGTACAGGCCAGAGGTGCAGGGGCAGTGAGAGGATTCACCAGAGACAGAGTAGGGAGCAGGACAGGCAGAAAGAAGGACGAAGCACACTGCTGAGGCGAGCAGCGGGCCGGTCAGGAGAGGTCTGTTGTGTCATGTGGGTTATCTCCAAGACTAGGGATCCAACTCCTGCTGAAATGGCTTTAGCTTCTCAGTACTGTGCTTTAGCTCACTATGCCACCAGGGAGGGCCCGATCACAACTATTTTTAAACAATTTGGGGAATAATCATATGTAGAAAATAACATGTCTAAGGAGTTCATTTTCCCTATTTTAAAAAGGAAAAACTAAAAAATTGAAAGCCTTGAATGTAGATTCCATATGAAAGAATATTCACTGCTGTTTGTTAGTAGCCTGTGAGGAAGCAGTTTGATAATCAGTGTTAAGAATTTATATTAGTCATCTGTGCATTCTGAGTAACAAGGCATTTTGGAATTCAGTTTCAACACACTATGTTTTTAATTTCAAAAGGTAGTTTGTAAAGTTCATTTTTCAATAAGCCAAGTAATTTTTGCCATCTGCCAATGAATTTATGACTTGGAAATATTAGAAACAGGGCCACATTATATGTTCATGAGTGGGAGGCACTGTTGCTGCTATACGGCCCTTTCTCCATTAAAAAAATACTAGGAACTACATTTTGACTGTTGGTTAAAAATTGAGTATGTTACTATTACATATTAAAGCATTTTCTTTGACTTAAGTTTCCTTTTTTCTCCTGAGTCTAAGAAATTAAAACATTTTCATGTATCAGGGAACAGATTGCAGTCTCTTGGCACTGTTCCCATTGAGCTTAGTGAATAAATTGGCTCTGATTAAAGTTATTATCTTCCTTTTCCACTTATTTATTTTAGTTTTGTGTTTAACGTGTATATTTTCTGATGGGAAAGCCAACTCCATTTCCATAGAGTTGCTCTATCCAACTCAATAAGCAACTGCATATTTGGTAGGAGGGATCTGTATTGGTGCTGACTATATCAACTACCATTCTGAATCTAATACAAAAGGCTTTAAAAACTTGGTAAAGTAAAAATGTATGTCCTTCACATAGCTGATTCAAACCATCTGCATAACCTGAAGCTATCAGCTCTTGCCCATTTTGTAATTTCAGTGTATTACTATCATGAAATAGCACTTTCTCCTCTAATCTTCCTTCCTTTCCCGTAATAAGGAAAAAACTTGTTTTTCTCTTTTATACCATCTGGTGTTTTTAAGGCTTAATGATAGAAGGTCAAATGTTACTTCTCACTCATTCATATTCTAATAGTGACTGCTGTTACAGAATACTAGCTCATTATAATAAATTCAAGGAATGCAAAAAAGGCTTTTTAAAAATCACAAATCCTGTCTCTCAGAAGTAAGCCTCATTAACAATAAGTGAATATCCTGTTAGACATCTCTGTAAGACTGCTTGTAGATGGGAAAATGAATGAATGGTTGAAAGAAAGAAATTCTTTCATAATCCTGTGGCAATATATCGCCCTCCCCCACCAAGTTCCTCAGCCTGTGAGGAGCTTATATTCTAGCAGAAATGGAATGTGTGTGTGTAGGGGGGGGCAGGTAACGACAATTGATAAAGCACATTCATAAAATACATGAGGAGGCGACATGTGGATAAAGGGGAATCACAGAGAGGAAGCACAGTTGTGATTGACAATAAGACGGTCAGGGTGGGCGGGCTCCATTGAAAAGTCACATTTGATAGAGGGAGTCAGTAGAAGAATGTTCCAGGGAGAGAGGTCAGCCAAGGCAAGACTCTAGATTGCAGGCTGGCTGGTGTGTCCAAGAAGTAGGTGAAAGTCAGCTTAATAGGGTGGGTTCAGACCTTGCAAATATGTGGAAAAAACGAATGACCCAGCAATTTGTGAACTAAACTTGTAAACTTTTTATACTTTTCAAAAAAAGATTACTCATGTTCAATTCACTGTTGTTTTTTAGACTATAGAGTGATAAGTTACCACAGGTGATGCTTAAAAAGAAAAGCAAAACTCCCTCATACTCAGTTAATATCTCCATCTTAAAAGACATGTAGGGAAAAGTGATTCAACAATAAATGAATAATGATTGTTTAAGGAAAAATATAAACTTCAGATTGGTTAAAAATAACAAAATTGCTTTTTCATAATGGTAGAAATGTTACATCTGAGAAAGACCCTAGAAGTTATCTGGTCTTAACTTTTACAAGTGAGAAATCTCCACCCAGCTCCCTTGCCCATAAAATATGAGTAAGGTATACAAACTTATAAAGGTAATCCCATTATTTAAATGGTTTAAAGTCATATTTATAATTTAAAATTGCAATACTTGATATAATATGGTGCAAAATTGTTTTTGTAAATAGTATTCAATAGTGAAGGCAATAAGTAATCTCAATCTCAAAGAAATCAAGGAATATTAGTTACCATGAACATTTCTTGGGGAAAAAAAAATTAACCCAAATGGCTCAAATATAACTGACAAGAGCATCATTAAAAAGAGTATCAACAGAAAATGCCCAATAAGCATTCAAACCTTTATAAAGTAGGCTTAAGACTGAAGGACTCTTGAAGGTGTTACAGAATAACATAAATGTTATGCAGTTTATATTAAAGCAACAAAAATCAAGAGGTATAGATGGAAAGGAAGAAGAAATGCAAAATGTTAACCAGAGAACATTAATATGAAAATGTAGTTAACCTCTTAAGTTTTCATAATTTTTTTGTCAGTATTAAGTCGTCTGTATACATATGTTGTTTTTAAAGTATCTTTCTGCAGGTTAGAAAGCTGTGTTGTTTCACTTCTGCTTTCTTTCTCTTGCTAAATTCAAGCAAAATAAAACAACTCTTATTAGAAAATACTCTTACCCTTTTAACAGTATATCTAGTATAATGATAACCAGCTGTAAAATCCCTGGTGAAATATTGGTATTTTCTTCTTTGTATTTTTTTATGTTTAAATTTTTTATAAGTCCATATTTTTATAAACATACTCATAGGTCAGTAGTATCATGATTATTCTTTTGTTTCCAGGCATTTTTATAATAGTAATCTTGATAAATGATAGAAATAACTTTAATAATTCTTTTAAGTCATGCCTAAGAAATTGGCAGCTGCCTGGCAGCCAGAGGCATATGCACTGGAAAACTAAATTCTCCTTATAGAATTCCTTCTGATTGGATTCATAAATCAAGACAGTGAACTGGTGAGAATGAAGTGAGATGACCCAAATTCCTGTGATCCTGATGATAGAAAGTGTAGTAGTGGAGTGTGCCATCGTGCAAATGGCTAAACCAGGAATGAGAAAACCTCCATTCTGTCACCCTCTAAACTAGCACCATAATTTTGAATACCTGGAGCTCTTCTCAATTGTGCTACAGTGAACTTCTTTCATGTCCCTGAATGTGCCTCAGGACCTTTGCACATGCAGTTCCCACTGCACAGGACACCCTTCCTTGCTTTTCCTTTCACTGAGTTCCTCTTTCTCATGGGCAGTGCTCAGCACATCAGTAGTCATTCACTTAGTGTCCAGTTTCCTTAGCACTCAGGCCTCTGGGAGGATGGAATCCAGCTTAGGAAGTTCAAGGTCAGGTTCTCTCATTGCCCCTCTCAAGCACATGCTTTCTCTTCCTCCCCTGGGATCTGCCAGGATGGTGACCTTCCTCTGGCCTCTGCCGGAACAGTGAACTTGGTTCTCCTCTCTCCTCTCTTCCTGCTACTTCATGACCTCTAAGTTTTGTTTATTTTTTTTCAGCAGGCCTCTTGGCTCCTGCTTCTGTTAGGAACAGCAGAGAGCATAGCCGTTCTGCTCAGCCTTTCAGTCTTCAGTCAGTACTAGCCGTTCTTTCAGGAGGGAGCATCTGCCCTGTGCCTACAGGTCAGTGCCGACAGGCCAGCATGGAGGGAACTGGCACCCATGTAGGCATCTGAAATCACCACAGAACCTCCTGCTTAGCCTCTGCGGTAAAGAGATGAAAGTGAAAACAAGCATGTTACAAAGGAATATGTAATTCTAAAGGACTTTTATATACAAAACGTGAAAGGCAATGGATCAAATTATTCTGATAGGATTTCTAGTTTTTATTTTTGTTTTTAAATTTTCTGTGATGAACATTTTCACAGGCGCTGCATGATATTTCTTCATTCCCTATAAACATGACTCTGTACTGAACTGACCCCAGGAGACCAGGAACAAGCTGGCCCCCACCACAGGAAGGGAAGGGAAGGGGTATCCTCCCTCCCCGTGTTTTCCACTGCTCCCACGTAATATGTTCATTTGTTATGTTAATTCTCCCATTTAATATGTTCTTTTCACCTTTATGTCTTTCTCCTCCCCAGGTGACCTGGTGACTGGAATCCCCCAGCACATTCTCAACAGCTCCCCATCGGACCGGCAGATTAACCAGCTGGCTCAGAGGCTGGGCCCGGAGTGGGAGCCTGTAGTGCTGTCCCTGGGGCTGTCCCAGGCGGACATCTACCGCTGCAAGGCCGACCACCCCCACAGCGTGCACGCGCAGATGGTGGAGGCCTTCGTGCGCTGGAGGCAGCGCTTCGGGCAGCAGGCCACCTTCCAGAATCTGCAGAGAGGCCTCCAGGCCATGGAGGTGGACCCCTCGGTGCTTCAGCACATGCTGGAATGACGCACTGCAACAGCTGGGTCCTGGGGAGAGAGTCCCCAAGTCACCCGGTGGGTAGTTTTTTGGAGCGTTTTTTCCTGTGGGTTTTGATTTTTCATGATCCTTAAATGAAAAGAGAAAACAGGATTTGCATTTGAAATTACTGACAGCCAGATCATTCAGCAGATCTCACATGTTGGCTTGAGAGGAGTTGTCTTGAATTGCGTGAAGAAATTGCATTGTTTTTGTTATCTTTTGACCAACTGCTAGATCCTAGTGGCTCCACATTGTGCGCAGGTGTCTTATATACAAAACATCTGTTTTTATGTTGCCGGGGGACTGAACTGCAGACTTTGCTATTAATAATGATGATGATAACAGAAAGTGATTTACTACTTCATATATAATGTGCCCCTTCCCTGAGAAGTCATGTTTGCTTTTCCCCTCATCGTCATATTGCCTAGATTAAGGATGTAGAACTCCTGTGGACATTTCTCTGGAACATAACTGATAGAACAGGGGAATGGTTGCACCCTCCAGTCAAGATAAATAGCACTGGCATGGTGTCCACATTAAATTTGAAGCATTAAAGCGCCCTGCGAAGACCAGTTCGAGTACCCACATGCATACCTGAGCCCTTCTTCTTCAAAGGATTGTTTAAGAAAACCCTCTGCCTTTTATTTAAAGGTTTACTTGGAGGACAAAAGGGGTGTGGTCTTTCCATCAAAGCCTTGATGATTGAAGTGTTGTGCTGTTACAAGTGTGACTGAGTCTTCTCTTGCTACTAGCACATGATATTTGTCAAATGTTTTACTGCTTCTTGAAGTAGTTCTTCACGTATGGGATCTCACAGAAATTCTGTGAAGTAGCTGGTAAGACAGGTAACCTTTTGTGCAAAGGTAAGTGGGTGACCTAAGGTTGGTGAGCTACAACGTGTATCCTCCTTGGGGCGACACAAGGTTGGTGAGCTACAACGTGTATCCTTGGGGCGACACGCTGAGTCTCCTGAATGCTCTGTGGTCATCCTCCTCCTCCTGCCTCCGAAATGCTCCTGGAAGAGGCCAGTGTCCTGCTCGCCACCTGACAGAAATATCTCCTCAGACACAAGTGACTTCACCTGTAAGCCTGTTTTCTCACTTGGAGAGCGGCAAATGCTTGTTCTCACATCTGAGATTTATGTGATGATTAAAAGAATGTCTGCCCGGAGCTCTGCTAGTGCCTGGCCACAGACCGCTGTTCAGAAAAAGTAGCTGTTAACTCACTGCAAGGCTGAACAATGGCTGCCGTTCACAGACAAAACTCAACAGTGACTAAAGCCGAGGGCGCTGTCAGAGAAAGTGCTGTTACCATGTTTCTAAGTCTTAAAATGTGATGTGATTTCATTAACTCCACCGTGGGTCCAGCCAAGAAAGGGACTGTGAGCCTCCCCCGGCTGTGATCTGGCCTTCTGAATAATTGAAAAGAATCTATTTCCAAGCCCTAACCTAGCTCAGGATTTTTCAAAGGGAAAACCATGATAATGTTTACATCTCTCCCAAGGAGGGTGGAGTTGATATGAAGGGGTCTTCAAGAGGTGCTGGTGGTGGTGTTGGTGATGTTCTGCCAGGTGTGGGGCAGCCTTTTCCTGTGACTAAACAGACTCATTATTTCACAGTTCAACAAACAGCTCAGAAGATGGTCTGTGACCTCGTGAGCCAATTTCCCATTTCATTGGAAAATTAACCAGGACTTAGCCCATGGTCTTGTACATTCTCCTCTTTTTGGTCACATGTCCATGCCCAGTGAACTGTATTTTTACTGCATCTTTAATAAACTGATTGCCATTTTGAATCTTAGATTTGTTACGTTGCTATTTGTACCCCTTGGGTTTGCTAATAGATAGTTTTTGTTCTTCCCACATCTATGGATGAGTGACTCTAGCTGGACTCTGCTGCGCCTGGCTAGCTGTAGATCTGATGATTCCCTGGGTCATCTTCCCACCATTTGTAAGACTGTCTTTCATGTCTGTGCTCTGTCAGCAGTTAAAAGACAGTTACTGACAGTCAAGTCCATGATGGGCTGACAGGATTGTTAGGACACGTGCCCTAAGACATAGGACATCTCCACCTCAAATGGCAGCTGCCCCTCCTCAGCCCTCTGCACCGTCAGGGCAGAAGATTTGCCGAGTGGAGGAACAGGGTGTCTGAATCACTGCCTGGCCTCTACCCCTGGATGGGAAGAGTGCTTCTGCACCTACTACCTCTCGAGAATCAGGTAGGTCATGTGACTGCAAGGAATTCACATGTTCTCACGTGGAGGAAGGTGCCGGGTTCCACAGATTGCCTGCCCCTGAGAAAATTCTGAATGAGGGTGATGAGGTGGCAGAGCATTCACAGGTGTGACCAGAGAACAAAAGTTCTTCCTGCACACAAACGCACAGGCATCAGTATGCCCCTGTGCTCTCAAAACGATCACTTTTATTAAACTTTCCCACTACAAAAACAGGACATGTTTATTATAGTCATTTGAAAAAATACCAAAAAGCAGGCAGAAGAAAGACAAAAAACAATTACCCCTATTTCCATCCTGCAAAGATAACCACTGTTACAGCTCTGTTCTGGATTCTCTTCCAGCTATTTTTCTTATGCCTGCTTGTTTTTTTGTTTGTTTAAATAATGGAATTGTATTATGCCTGCTGCTCTACCTGTGGCTTCTTTTGCTTAACATACAGCTTTTTTCCAGGTCACTAAAGATTTTTCATTACCAGTGATTCTTCAACTTTATTCAGGCCTTTTTATCCTGTCCTTAAGGCAAGATGTCCTCTCCTCTGTATTGTGGGGTCCACTCAGCTGAGTGTTCCATTTCTACAAGTGAAGTTGGGGGGAGCAAGTTGTACGTTTTGACCTATGTTTGGCAGCGCCCCAAATATCAGATGTGTGTGTAGCTGCAATTGTACACCATCATTCCGGGTGTCTTACTGCCCCAGCACACGCATGTGTGATCTCAATAACCACTTCCCTAGGTGGTTAGAACAATCAAGGTGGATTTTGTCCTTATACAGTTCTAAACTGTGAGCAGTCCTTGTTAAATCTTTACATTCCCCAGAGATTACCAGTACTGGATCCTTCTTTTGTTTAGTTCTAATGTATTTAAATTTGGTTATCCATTAGCTTTTACTCTATAGCATACCACCCACCCCCAACATGTAATGGCGTAAAACTTAGCTCAGAATTCTGGGAGCTGGCTGGCCTGTTCCGGTCTTAGCTGACTCAGCTGACCTTTACTGGGCTCTCATGCATCAGTGTCTGGGCCAGGCTAGCTGAGGCCACGTGATGCAGGGTAGCTGTGCTCACACGTGTGCTAACTGTTTCCTGGGGCAACAGAGGTGTCTAAGGCACACATCACTAGCCAGACCTGACCCATCCTCCTTCTCCATTGGGAGTCATGGCAGGAATCTCCTGGGCGGCAAGAAGGCAGGTCCTGAGGGGCAAACACTTTCCATACGTCTGTTATTACTGTTTTTATATTCCTTTGCTTATGTCCTGTTGGCCAAATGAAGTCCCAAGGCCAGTTCAGTCAGTGTGGGAAAGCTCTACGAGGGCTTAGAGAGAGGGGGAGGGGAGAATTTGGGTTCATTTTTTAAACGAACATAGCTAATATTTAAAATTGAGGGTTCTGGGCTCTACTGTAAAACGAAGTTGGATCACTCCGGATTCCCCTGTCACATTACAGTACACGGGCAGGCGCGTTAGCCTAACTCATCCCTACCATGAGCAGACAACGCCCCTCCCCAGCGCTCCTCCCTGCTCAGCGCCCACAGCGATGCACTGTTACAGCCACCCTGGCCAGTAGCCACAAGGATTCTTTGGATGAACTCCTAGAAGTGGAATGGACTGGCTAGAACTTACACATGTTTTTACAAAACCTCTTTGACTTTCTAATTTTTTTTTTTTAACTTTTAGAAATTATTTTAAACATGACTTTTTCTTGCTATCGGGGTTAGTTTTAAATGCCAGTCAATTACCCCAGGGTTCAGCTGCCTACGGTGGAGATTGCTGCTGGCATGTCCCCATGTATGCATGTGTGTGCATGCACACACACACAAATACACACAAATACACCAGCGCAACTTCGGCTGTAGACTACGTCTGTCTTCATCCCCTCCTCTGAGGAGAAGCCCAGGAGCGGCGTCATTTGGGATAGAAACTCCCCTGATTCAGCTAGTCGGCAGACAGCTACTGTAAAGCAATCACTCTGCTAAGTGGGGAGACTAAAAGATTACCAACAAATGTAGGGATCCCTGCTTTTTGAGTGTGTTTAATGGCCCTTCATGTTGACGGAAGACCTGTTTTCACTAACCAAAAAAATATCTGAAAAGGATTTCAGTCTTACAACAAAAGATAAAAGTAGAACAATGTCAGCAGTTGTTCTCAGCAGCTGTTGCAGGGGCCAAGTCTTCTCTGACAGCGAGGGCGGCGCCTCCAAGCTCTGTCCCAGCCCAGACTCTGCCCAGGTTGTGTATTGATCAGGCTGTTCCTGCTTTTACTGTATGTTAGTGTCAACTTAGGTTTTACGTGTCGGCTTATATGATTTGGTAGGTTATTTTTTGGGGGTTTGGGAATGCTCAAAAATTTTAACACAGACATTATGGTCATTGATGCATTAATTTATTGCAGTAAAGATTATATAGGAACACTTTCAGATAGCAAGGGAAACCTGTTCAGTCAGGAGCTCACCATGGGGACAACAAGACTGACATTGATGTCTAATCACATGGTACAGTCAGTCCATGCCTGAGTACTGAGTCTATGAGAACACAGGAGATTCATTCTGCTCAGCTTCTTGGGAGGTATGAGGCAAAGGAAAAGTTATGAGCTTCCCTTACTTGGACAAGTTACTTGATCTTTCTGTGCCAGTTTCCACATATGTGAAGTGTGTACAAAAGTAATACCCACTTATCATTACAGTGAGGATTCCACAAGATAAAAGATATAACCTGCTTAGAACAGCGCTTAGCACAGAAAAACACTTGCCTAATCATTGAGCTGAATTATTGTAGCTGATTTTTCTAATATTCTTTCCTCTACCAGGGCTCTTGAGAAGTAAGAAGGTCAGAATTACCTTCTCCTACAGTGATTTGCAGTGTGAAACTAGAAAGTGCTTGATCCTATTTTTGAACACATGTAAGTTGTTATAGTGTGTAGCTCTTAGTACAGCTGAATTTTTTTTTTTAAGATTTATTTATTTGTGCATACAGAACTGGGGTATAAGCCAGAGGTGCAGGGACAGTGAGAGGATTCACCAGAGACAGAGTGGGGAGCAGAACAGGCAGATCGACGAAGTACACTGCTGAGGGGAGCAGTGGGCGGGTCAGGAGAGGTCTGCCATGTCATGTGGGTCACCTCCAGGGCAGGCAGGGATTGAACTTATGCGGAAGTGGCTTTAGCTTCTCAGTGCTATGCTTTAACCCTCTGCGCCACCAGGGAGGGCCCACAGCTGATGATTTTTAACAAACCTACACTATTTAAAAAATATGTTTTAGACTACTGTACCTTTGATAAGGACAAATTTCTCTAGCTTTTATCAATATATTTGTAAATTAAACTGTAATTTCTCTTACTATAAAAAAGGGGCATGTTCTTTAATACTTCTACCAGAGCTTGACAGATAAGAGAGGGAGATGAATGTGTAGCACACTCCCTAGCATATTAGAAATGGAACAAGATTCTGACCTAACACTTGGCGATCGCTAAGTGAATTCCTAGAGCAATTGAACACATTCTTGCTGATTGCAGACAATCAGCAAGCTACCGATTTGTGTCAGCTATTGGAAAGACAAAGATAAATGAGACATGGTCTCTGCTCTATAGGATCTCAAGCCTGCTGGAGAGACAGACAGGACAGCCGGCAATTAAGATACTGTTCAGCCAGCACAGAAGAGAGAGCAATTAAGTTGGCCACAGAGGAGGTAACACTTCAACTGATCTTTTTAAGTTTGGCTCAAGTTAGTGCCTTAGGGGACACGAATGTATATGGATACCACAATTCTATTTAATTTATTTTAGATCCAGTTTGACAAATGGAACTTCTTGCCACAAGTCTGAGATGCCTCCAAGAGGCTATCTCAAAGCAATATAGAAACCAAGGGTATCTTGTTGGATAGCCTAAGTAGCCTATGTCGTCTCTATATAGCAACTTAGAATGACATTGAGAAGCATGATTCTATTTACCGACAGTGGCGTCATATCAGATTTCGGCTTTTAGCTGTCAGGCACATTTTGAAGTTCTTGGTGCTAGCCCTTGCCCTTAGTTCTCTAAAAGCACCATGGATTAAAAGAGGGAAGGTTTTTAATGTAATAACGGACTGCTTACTTCTTAGAACCATAAACAGAGCTTAGTACAGAAGAGATGTCTGTCTTGTTGGCATCTACTGTTTTTATAGGAAAATTAAGGTCTCAGGAAAACAGTTTGGTGAGCCAATTAAGCCTTGTCTATTAAAATTATGCAAAATAATTCTGAAGGTTATTATTAATTCAAAACATAGACCACCAAGTCCAGGGTTGAGTATTTAAACAGAAAACAACAGCCCCAGCATCTTGGTGTTACTTGTATGTTTCCATTTCATTTTCATATTCTATCTCTAGCCAGTTCTGTTTGTGGCTTCAGACTGCATTCTTAATGAAGAATATTTGTGGAAAATATCTACTATGGTCTGAAAGTTTGTGTTCCCCCAAAATTCCTATACTGAAATCCTATCCCCAGAAGTGGCGGCATTAAGAGATGAAACTCTCTTCATGGAACTCTTACAAGGAGACCCTACCGCGCCCCAGCCCTTCCC